ATCAAAAAAAAACATCTCACACCAAGTTTCAACCCCCTATCTCATCCGTGGGGGTAGTAAAAGGGAAAAAACGAAATTCCAGTTTTTGGCCCATTTTGCCTATTTAATTTCGTAAAAAAATTCGGAAAAAATTCGAAAACATTGAGGTCCAGATAGCGCATATTATAGAATTTTTTCAGATTTTTTGATCGTAAATTGTAGTCGTGAAAAATCAAAAATTGAAAAAAAATCCGAAAAAATGCGATTAATGTAGTAGTTAGATATTAGTACAACTATTATTCTCTAATTTTTTCAGATTTTTCGGTGAGGTGCGCCGTAGTTAAAAAAATCAAAAACCGATTTTTTCGCGCGAAAAACAAACATCTGCTTTGAATTTTTATGTCATTTTCCCATAAAAGATGCATTAGGTAATTTTAAGATTTAGGAGTTGGTGGGTGAATAAAAAATGTCTAAGTCTTTACTGATCAAGACGGAGCGAATCTTTATTTTAAAGGATGAGGTGCTAAGCGCGAAGGTTTGTTAAGAACTGCTCTCTGCACCCTTGATGCCTTGATGCGTTTTCTCGACACCTCTTACATCCCTTGGTGGGGGTGTCTTCAAACGACAAATTTGGCAATGCAGCGGGATTTCCCGGTGACCACTTACCGCTCCCTTGCACGGTCAGGGATCGCCAGGCCCGGAACCGTGGTCCCTTCGGAAATCCCCGGTTTATGATGCCGTACGTAGCTATTGAGACCGTTGACGAAAAACTACAAAACATGTCTCGAGAAAATCTAACGGTATCCTCAAAAATAGCCGTTTTGACCGTATACGTCGTAAATCGTTCTGGCCTTTTGCACTTACAATGATCGCTTAAAAATCACGAACCCAGCCGCTACAAAGAGGATTCACGTTCACACAATTGATTTATGGATAACAACAATGAAATTAACTTAATTAATTAGTTTTATGTTATGTTCTGTACATACACTTTTTGACGCAGGTTCGATCTCGCCTGAACTTATATATATTTTTTTCTTTTCTTTTTTTAATTGTTAATTTTTTTTATTCTAATTATATAGCAATGGATACTACTTATTTAAAATATTTCTAATGCATTTTAGGAATATTTCAAGGTTTTTTTTTTGACTTGAAAAACTTTGACAACTTTATATTCATGTAAAAATAATTACGAAACATTTTGACTACATATCTTAATTGTGCTACGATTTTATATTCTTTCAATAAATTTAGTAATTCAGTAATTCAGTAATTACATTAAAGTCCTAAAAAGATTTAGTGAAAAAATTTGGAATGAAAGGCCACAGTTATGAAGCGACGGATGGCCGTTGCACCAGGACAATGTATCCGCTCACACGGCACTGTCTGCCAAGTAGTTTCTGACCAGTAAAAATATTACTGTGATGGGGCGTCCTCCTTATTCACCTGATTTGGCTCCATGAGAATTTTTTTTATTTCCTAAAGTTAAATTTTGCTTAATGGGAACCCATTTCACTTCAGTTAAAGAGGTTCATGCAGAAACGGAGAATCTCCTAAAGGGACTTCCAAAAACTTCGTTCCAGAACTGTTACCAGCAATAGCAGCACCGAATCCAAAAGTGTGTGAATGCTAAAGGGGACTACTCCGAAGGTGATAATGTCACGGAGAACTAATTCTGAAGCTACAATGATTTATTGGACTAGTCTCGTTACTTTTGTGTCACACCTCGTATGCAGGTATGTGAGCATGGGCGCGCGCAGGTATGTACGCGTGCAGCTATGTGTGCGCGGTTGAGTATAATTTTGTTCTTTTAATAAAAATTCGAGGACTTGTAAATTTTAATATCGGGTATTACCACCACGGTTGTCAATTACATCTTGCAAGCGTGCTAAAAATTCAGCAATAGTATCGATAAATGAGATGAGAGACAAATTTTTTAAGTCAATAAACGGATTAGCCGCGGATAGTAATGGCGTTTCCTTAACTCTTTTCGTACAAATTTCAAAGTTTGAACCATCGGATCACAGGGAACAAAGAATCGGAGACATTTGAAACTTCGCATACTTTTTGTGGACACTATGAGCTTAAACAAAAAACATAGGCATAATCAATGCGATATTTATTTACAAAGACACCGTAACTTTTGTAATTCGAGGAAAAAACACCGTTTTTTGACGTTTCTTTACATCAAATTACATATCAAAAAAAAAAAAAACATTTAATCAAAAACTGATAAACCTATCTTAAAGGGTACATTCTTCGCTTTCTAGAACCTTCCTTACAATTTTTGTTCGATGGTGGGTTCATGAGATAATGACTATCAAAGGAAAAAGCGTCATTTCGACTTTAGTAGCTCATAACTTTGCAACCGATCATCGAAACGAACTTCATGGACGTGCAAATTATAGGGGAAGGAACAGGGAACAGCAGACTAGAAGTGGCATTAATCAAAAAAATTTTCCTATGTCTATACAAACCTTAAAAGAAAGAAAAAAAATTCTAAAATTTTTTCATCGCTATTTTTTGTATGTTTCATTAGTGAAAAAAGGCCCAAAAAATTTTTGATATAAAGGGTCGAAAACTAGAAACCTGAGGCAGAGCAATTTGAATATGACCTAAAAATTTAAGGAATTTTTCTGTTCCCTTAATTCTTTTGACTAGTGTATGTATATACAACTTTATACAATACATACAAATTTAAATATGTATATATTTATCTAAATGAAGCTTACATTGTATCCAACTGTATATCCCATAATAGGCCTGGCAATATTTCAGACAGAATAGTGAAATTTGTTTGATCCGTTAATATTCCATTAATAAAATACGATTCAGTGGTCTGGTGGCCAATTATACCGTATCACACACTAACATTCACAGTTCCATCTACAAACTCCTCATTTAGATGAGTATTTGAGAATGGAAAGCACCCTCAAACCTAGTATGCCTGATCCGCATTATGTACGATTTCTTGAGTAGTACTGTTTATTTATTTTATTAATTATTTAGTCAATGCAGGGATTTTAAAATCTGTAGTTTAATTTGTTTCTTTGTTCCGTTAAATTCGTTAAAATTTGTATATTGTAATATGAATTACCATTATAAACAAAGCTGCGTTACAGTCATGTTAACCCTTTCATTACGGGTGCCGCCTATAGGCGGCGGCCGCACGACGATCTCTGTGTACGGGTGTTATATGTAAATAACTGAATATTCATGCAATATACACATTTTCATGTTTTTCCTATAATACGATGAAACAGTTGTTATGTAGCTCTTAAAAAAGTGTACATACAAGACAATCATAAAGTGGCGTTGAAAAACATTAGTCCGAATATCGAAGACTACTGACGAGCAAAGTGCACACTTCGCGGCGCGGACTGCTGTAAGGAAAGGGTTAATTGAACATTTTGAATAACTATTAATTAATCTGATATTAAGAAATATACTATTAATAGTATTTAAAATTAATAATTATACTAGTAAGAAAGATAAATTAAAATTAATACCATAATTGTTAATTTTAGATCTCATTTTCCAATACTTTTTTACACAAATATCCATGCTTTATTCAATTCCAAGAAAAAATATTAAGCACACAATTCAAAAGAACTAAAGATGACCTTCATATATCGATAAAAAGATAAAGTAACAGGAAAACGATTACTGTGCTGTGTGTACCTCAAGAAATCATGTAACTTTGGTTTAGAAATTGTTTTTCTTCCGTAAATAATTTATGAGTTATGTGAAATCGTCATATTATGACATTCACAATGCATTTTAATTTACATTTTAATCACGCTTCTTGAACTAACTTATTAACATAATAAATCACTATTGTACACTATAGTTGTCATGTAGTTGTAGTCGTCATTCAACATTATTTAATACTAGTTATCCTTTGTCATTAACACTATTCAGTATTTGCTATACCAGTCAAAACAACTGGTTTTATAATTTTATTTTAACATTCATATTTCATGCAATATTTTCCTTTCCGTAATGATGTCATTTTTTTCTAGCAAGAATTAAAGAAATAATATAATAAATTTTTTGTTTATTTAGATTTCAAATAACTTTGTATCATGGTTACGTATGTCAATAGCATTCAAAACGATTGGTATTTATCAAAGTGTAAAAAAGTCTTACAATCTGATTATCAAATAGACATTAACCAATTTCTCCATTTTGTACAAGTTTTCATACGTTTTTAGAATTTTTACTGCGTATCATTCAATATGGTGGTAATAATTGGCAGGGAAATTTTGGACCGATTACAATGTTGATACAAAAATAATGACATAACATATAAAATCAGGGATACAATTGCGAGAAGCTGATATCCTAAAAACACTAAACAGCGCACTTTATACGTGTTAGTAGTGTTAAATACTGTGATTATAATAAGATTACCATCATTTGTAATTCTCGTAATAAATATGTGCGTAAAAAATACACTTATATGGAAAGCTATGTTTGTAAAGAATGTGACAAATAATACAACTTTTCATATTTAACTGATTTTAATATACTATAAGAGTAACTAAGTGAGAGTAACCTAACTTTGAAGTAGAAATTTATTTCAGTAATTCTGTCACTAAAGTATATAGTCTTTATTATATTTGTTTGTATTCATGTGCCAATCCTTATTTAGGAACAATAATCCTAAGTGAGTAATAATACCAAAAATGCACTACATACCCTAGACTTCCTTTTGCAAGAAAGTAATAAATAAATATGAAAATATTTATCATTACGTACTTTTTACAAACCAGTCATTTTGCTTTGTAGTAACAGCAATAACTTCGTTTCAACTGTGGGTATTTGATACGTTAAACGATCAGAAATGTAAAAAACTATGATACTACATATAGTTATACTTCGGTATGCTATCGAAACGGTATTTCATAGTATAAAATAAATTCAGCGTAACAGTCGAAGACTAAAACGATTTCCGGAGGACGATAAAGATGGACGTAAAATAAATCACGACTATGATAGCTTTAATAAAAGGAACTTACTGTTTAGCGTACGCGATGGATTTTGCCAAGCCATTGCCAGAACCGCATGGTATTATGCCAAGAGGCATTTCCTTCAGAGCCTTTTCCCAATCTGTCCTTTGAAAGAGTCCATTCACCACCTCGAAAACGATACCGTCTCCTCCGACCATCAGCAAACCGCTCCATTGATAAATGTCCCTCGTACGCACAAACTCGCGTGCATAATTGGGACATTTGGTGATGTGCACTTCGTATGGTCTCTCTGCTTCCGACAGTATTGGATGGATTCTCTTTTGGAACATTTCCCGACCCCTTCCTGGGCCTGACTTCGGATTCAGCAACACCAGAATCTTCTTTTGCTCGTCTGGGCATGCTGCAACACGTTTTAAAAGTGTGTGTAGAAGCCGTCGTTTGCATCTGAATAAAGTTTACATCGAGTCAAGAGAATCCTTTCGAGGATTATGCGATACATATTACGATAAGTAATTTTACTGTCACTGGAACATTGCAGTCGTTGTAGCAACCCCTAATGCGGAGATTTCTCTCTGCATTTCCGACCGCGTTCGATTAACATGAATAGGTAATTTGTTCTACAGTCGATAGGATTCGAGCATCTATTTCTGTGCCCACTATTTTATGCGAAAACAATGATGGTGATGTTTATTGTATTTCATTCGTATAAAATTTAATTTATGTACAATTTTTGAACTAAACACAGGTTGCATGAAATTTAAACTTAAGGGTAGTTTAATAAATCTGTTAAATAAATTTTAACGTTTTACTGATTTTGTAATTTTCAGATGGTAATTCAATCGATTTACCGATTTTTTTACGTAGTAGATTATTACCTACACAGCTGGGACAGAAATGTTTCCAATAAAGCAACATAATAGTATATTATTCTTAAGTTACTACATATGTTACGAATTTCACTTCAACTACAAACTTAGATATGCTTATAAAGACCTTATAAATTTAAAGTAATAAAGCTTTAATACATATAATATAATGTAAAAGAAAACTTATACAGTCATATTAATAATACTTTCGCTATATTTATTTATAGTAGTTGAAACTGTTAAAAACATAAAATAAAGAACTAGGGTTAAATGAAAAATACCAAAGCAATTCAGCATGTACGTCGAATCTTTTATTACAACACCGAAATAATGTAGTAAATTTTAAACTGTAGTAATTGTTTGTAAATATAAATACTTCAACACAGTATTCTAGAGAATGAAAAGTAGTATCGATTAATAAGCACATCAAAAAGTGAAGAGTATATAAAACGAAAGGATGTAATTACACTTGTCTGATGCATAGCTGCAATGAAACACAGAAACTTAACCCGATAATATACAGAGTGCTCCCGGCAGTATGAACCAGCATGTGCGTTTACGTAATTTGTGCTGACTCGCGCACGTTTATTCAACAGAAATTAATCCGTTGAATAATAATTGAATATGAGTCCGAACGGTTGACTCGAAGACGTCCTAAACGGTGGACTCGTGAAATTGATCAGTCCGTCGCGAATGACTCGTGAAATTTCTAAGTCCGACTTAGGTGACTTTACTTGAGATTCGTTTAAGTCCGACACGGTTGACTTATTTTCCTGTTCTTTTTAGTCCGACTCGGATGACTGATGTTGGAATTCTGACGAGACGTTCCGTCGTTACTTCCTCGAAACGTCGGAAGTGCAAGGAGGCATGCTGATTGGTTCTCATTAGAAACGTTGATTTTCCAATCAACATGCCCCTTGACTTGGGCCCACCCTCTCTTGCGCCCTGAGCGCGCCTTTTTTGGAAGAGGGTGGGAAAAAATACCGATGAGTACGGGAGGATCTCGAAGGCCGGCAACGCCGGGGTTTTTCCCTCCAGGTGACACGCACGTTGTCCTAAAAAGTACCGCTAGGACGGAACCGGGGCCCATCCTCGGTGACTCTTCGGGAAAAACCCTGTTTATGACGGAGTAGTTATTGAAGACTAAATGAAACTTAGAAATTCTAAAGGCATTGTTCGAAAAAATGTAAAACTAAATTGCCGTCGATGGCTAAAAATCTGTCTTTCAAAAATAACTGTTACCCGGACCCATCATAAACTACCTACGAAATCCTCGCGTATTGTGTTCCGTAGCACGTTCGGAACATAATTCCTTATGGAGAAATAAGAAAAATATACCAATAGAATTGGTATAGAATCCAATTTCTTTATTTATGGCATAGTTTTCGACAAAATTAAGTTTCAAGGTCCGCTATGTTCCTTCAATGTTATGACATTGTTATTTTCTATCGAGCATGGAGATAGCACTATAAACGCTTTAATTGTTCCGGTGTTAATGTTCTATTTTAAAGTTCCTGTACATTTGCAAAAACGTATTACTTATTTCTATTTTTATGCTTATTATATGACATATGAATGATTCATTAAAACATTTCGATATTTTGAAAGCGTTTAATACCACTTTGTTTTCCTTACCAAACGGAAGAAAAACAGGTTTCTTTTCAAAAGTATAATATTTATGATTAAAAATTGCAAAACATATTACTTTACAATTCTCAATCCTATTAAACCAAAGATTAATTGGTTGCCAACGGATTTCCTTATTCCTCCGACTGTTATTGAATTCCAGCTATACAAATTTCTTATGCTCGTTTGTGGTAGTAAAATTTTTGTTGTTAAAAGCATAAAATACAAAAGTGCATTTAAGTATTTGATACTGCCACACTTTGAAAAGAAAATTGATACTTTTGAATATTTAATACCTATTTTCGATGTATTTGTCTAATTTTATCCTGGTTTCTACTAAATTATTATTTTATATTAATTTCTATAGAATTGAAAATTAACCGTATACACTGAATGTTATCAAGCAATTAATGCAAGAAATAGAAAAATTAACAGTCATCATCATTCAAAAGAATCTTGTTAAAAATATTAAAATTATACTTTTACAGTTAATTAATCAAGATAGTAACTGGTTATTAAAAACAATTTGTGTTGTAATTATTATGTTTTTACATACAAATCGTCACAATTCAACGGCACAAAAATACTACAAAATAGACATATCACCTTGAAACTTGAAGGTTGTTGAAAGTGACTACTTGAACTTTTCATAAATGTATTTGATACGACAGGCTGATTATCAGAAAACTGTTCCAGCGATTACTCTGTATAATGCACAGTAAGATGGTTATCTGACAATCAATAATGTTGTATCAAGAACATTAACTAAAGATATCTATAACCATTTTCAACGAACGTTAAGCTACAAAGTGATATAATACAAGTGCAAAATTAGTCTATTTTCATCGGTCTAAAGGTATTGCCCCCCTTAAAGTTCAATGAAATTGACGTGGAAATATTTTATGAATAGTTTCAATACAAAATGGCTAATTGCCAGTCACAGTGAGTATTGACCGATTTAAGAACCTCTAAAGTTTTAGATAATTTGATGACATAAAACTATCGCAAAGTACGAGGGTCATTCAATAAGTAAAGAGACAAATTCTATAATTTTAAAACTATTCAATGAATGTGTACAATCTTTTCAGGAGTGTTAGTTGGCAACCTTGGGATATGCTCTGATCAGCTGTTTCATCATTTTATGTCAACATAACCTCAAAATTTTCAATTCACCATGGCAAGTCCACTAGAAGATTGCACCTTAGAAGAGCAGCGCTCAGTCATTAGATTTTTAGTCCAGCTGACCCGTGATAAGCTTCAAGAATTGGTTTGGGAGGTCTTACCTCATCCTGCCTACAGTCCCAACCTCGCCCCATCTGATTTTTACCTGTTTGAACCACTCAAAGACGCCCTACGTGAAAAAAGATTTGCTAACAATGAAGTTAAGGAAGCGGTGCAAAAGTGGCTTCGGGGTAAATCGAAAGAATTCTTCGCCAAGGGAATTGGGAAGCTGCAAGGAAGATGGGACAAGTGCATAACTGTGCGGGGAGATTATGTTGAAAAATAGCCTTAATTTTGAAAGATTGAAATAAACCGTTTTTGAGTTATAGCCATTTGTCTCTTTACTTATTGAATGACCCTCGTACTTTGCGATAGTTTTATGTCATCAAATTATCTAAAACTTTAGAGGTTCTTAAATCGGTCAATACTCACTGTGACTGGCAATTAGCCATTTTGTATTGAAACTATTCATAAAATATTTCCACGTCAATTTCATTGAACTTTAAGGGGGGCAATACCTTTAGACCGATGAAAATAGACTAATTTTTGTGAATTTTTTTGTATAGGATATCTTTGTTTTGCGTTTTTGAAATTTCACGTATAATTTATTATAACTATTGCCTATTACACAATATTTTTTGTTTTTAAATACATTTAAAAATGGCGGAATTATAACAGTCCTTCCTGGAAGTGTTTGGCGCGTCTCGTGAATCGGTGTGGGTTCTAGCCTTAGATCCATTGGTCTGAAACAAGTTTGCAGACAATGTTTCGAAAACTAACATTCGCAGTTAGTAGATGAACCTCAGAAATGTGCAAAATGTGTAAAATTAAAGAAATGGCGCGCTTTTAAAAAAAAACTTCGAATTTTACTAAAAATTTTTGCAATATTTTGCAAAAAAAAGGACTTTAATGTTCAATTTATTTCATAAATTTAGGTTCATATGTTAGATACTATTGTCATGGATATGTGTACAAAATTTGAACGCGATTGATAAACTAGTTTTTGAGTTATCAGCCAGACCAATTGTAAAAATGTAGTTTTGAGAAAAACGCGTTTAAAGTTTCAGTCCTCTGTACTGAACGCGTGTATACCGCGGCGCTAATCGGCCATAAATTCAAAAGGGTTCGGTATTTCGGTTTAAAATTTGGAGACCATATTTTTAAGATGTTGCACTAACATTTTATGGAAAAAAAAAAATTTTCAATTTTTTAAGATTCTAAAGGTATCCTTAAGCTTCAAACTGATGCAACATAAGTATTACTTTACTGTATTTTATGTTATCAAATTCTGTTAAATTTTTAATACTTTCGTAGTCACGAAAAGTATTAATGAATGCGTGTAGTCATTTTCATGAAATTTACTTTTATTTACTTTTATTAGCTTTAAATTGCTCGCCATCACGTAAATACAGACATGATGATATAAGTTCATTTATCATACGGTCTAGATCAGGTACAGATAGACATTTTTTGTTCATTGCAAAGCAATTTAAACCAAAAGAATTCCAATAATTTTAAGATGGTGAAAAATGCAGTGAGTCCTATTTTTATGATAAATCCGAAAGTTCTTGTAACGAAAAATTCATGTAACAACTTGCACACTGATGAAAAACTGCCATAAACTATGATCAACAATACATTATATTACGCTCATGCATTAATGAATCTTTTCCGCCTCATAGGGAAGCCTTAACCAATCATTCATATACCTCATTTTGAGGACAAACTGCTAATTGTTTAAAAGATATCAACAATTAAAGGTAGACACATAAAAACCATTAACTGCGAGGTTAAATGCTTGACTGTAGATCAAAAGGTCTATGGTTCAAATACCAATTACCTACATTTTTTTCATTTAAACATTTGATTGTATTGAAGTATCATTATAAAAATTGCAACAAATTATAGTATAACTGCTATTACTATGATTAATTTATTATGCTGCATTTATTATAATTTTCAAATTATTCTTTAAATCTTTATTATTCTTTTATGATTATTGTATGTTATAACATTGTATAATTGTGCGTACTGACTTTATACATTCCGATTATAACTTTTTACGATTATTAATCATTTTGAATTCAACTGCACCAATGTACATAAGGAATAATAACGATAATTTGAACACTATAATGAGTACAACATAATTAATAAATTAATAATAGTAATAGCAGTTGTAGCATAAATCTTTGTAACTTCAATATGATCAAATATTTAAACGAGCAAAGAAAATAAGTAAGTAGTATTTGAACTGCTGACCTTTTGAACTATAATTAATCATTTAACCAGACATCTAATGGTTTGTATGTATCAGTATGCGCTGCACTTCAGAATTTAAAGAGTAACTACCTTTAATTGTTAATATTTTGTAACGCCAGATTCACGAACGTCCGATGCGCAGTGACCCTTTTAGCTTAAAAGAAAAGTACAGCAGCAAAAATATATAAAAGATGAAATAAAGTAATTTGCAGGATTATTCTAGAGTTAATACAATACATGTATTTTTATGTAGAATCTCACTGTTACGTTCGTATAATTTCTTATATATGCTAAGATACTTGATACTAGGTTTACGACCATGTGTTGTAGTTTTTTTTTGGATTAAATAAAGTACGACACTAAATACAAGTTTTCTTTAAAGTCCAAATCCAACCTTTATATACAAATACCTTTAATAAATAACCTTTATATAAAACCGTTTATTTCAAAAACGGTTAGGTTAGGTTTATTTCAAAAACGGTTTTAAATATGAAAGAATGTTTCAGAACAACGTTGTAGAATATTAAGGGAATCATAAAATGATGGCAATAATTTGAGCTTGCATGGTGGTTTGCAGTCATCAATCTACAAAATATAAATATAGCGGTGTACACTAAAATGCAACATGTCGGGAAATAAGCGAATGATAAAGTTATGAGTTATTGATTATAATTGATATGATGTTGCAACATGATGTTGATATTTATATGTAAAATGGTTCAAAATTAGACACTGCCATGAAATCTTCAAGGTGTCAAAAGACACCGCATGGTAAAAATACGTATAACATATGCACATTTTTAGATCTAGGATGACCTGGAAAAACAATAATATCGCTCAATTAATTTAACAACTGTTGTATGAGAAATGATTCTTTATTTAGACAAAAGTTATACACTCCGATAAAAGTATCTTAATAATTTCTGTAGTTAAAAATAAGGAATCTACGATACGTCGTTTTAGCACGTTTCACGGACGCAG